AAGGAAGGAAGGAGGGAAGGGGAGTCTTGGGGAAGTGAGTGATTGTAGGTGAGGCAAGGTGGACCAAAAGGTGTGATCTGTCACAGGAGAGGACGACAGGCATTGTTACAGGACAAAAGGGTCTTCTGCAAGAGCAGAGAAGCCACCAAGCGATGGCTTGCACTGACTACACTTGTGGCAATTTGAGCACTAAAAGGGGCTATGGTGGTACCAGTTAAAATGCCCAGTAATAATGCTCAGCGTGGGAGAAGGACACAAAGGAAGAAAGGTAAAAAGCTTGTTTTTTCCCAGCAGAATGTCAGCTACTAAATACAGAGAATTGGAAACTCCATGCCTTGTGACAGCTCCAAGCAGTAATGAATGCTCCAACGGGGGACAACAGAGGTGCCCAAGGAACTTGGTGGGCCCTGAATGTCCACATGGTCTCAGGTACTGCCTCTCCGATTGTCCCCTAATCTCCACAATGCGGAGAGCCATAGTCACTTCCTTAACTTCTGTCTCAGTCACTGTTCTCGTTGCTGGGATAAATACCCAATACCCAAAATGAAGGAAGGAAAGCTTTATTTAGCTCACAGTTAGTGGAGGTTTCAGTCCATACTCTGCCAGCTCCAAGGCAGAGAGGCACATGGCAGAGGGCAACCTTTCATGGCTGTGGCAAGGAACAAGAGAGCAAAGGGAAAAGTGGTGGTGACAATGGCTACAGCGAGCAAGTCCGTCTCCCTTAAGCTGCATTCAGGCTATCCACCCCAGGCTGGGTGTAGCACTCACACCCATAATCCCAACAGCACTCACACCCATAATCCCAGCAGCACTCATACCCATAATCTCAGTGGATCATGAGTTAACCACAAATTCTAGAAGTCCACCCCATGACTGCATGAGGCTTTAGGGGGACAGCTAGAGACAAAACATAACAGCTGCACCATCAAACTGTCACCAGAGGTGAGATGGCTTGATACCATTTGCTGTCACAGTACAAGATGTACTGTGTCACCTTGTGTCACCTCTGTGGCAGCCTTGACAAAAAACCTCAGCAAATCCATTCAAGAGGAGATACAAATCCAGGAAACAGGACATTCAATAAGACAACTGGTATTCAGAAGCCACGATGCCCCCGGGAGACAAGCAAAGCAAAGTGACTAACGATCAAATGCGAAGCTTCTTCATGGATTAGACAAAGAGAGAAATAAAAGGTGAATTTTGAAGACACCTGAGAATCCAAGACACGTGTTGTGCGTTGTGTGTCACCGATTCTGCACTAGCCTTCCTGCAGGGCAGAGCTCCGACATTGTGTTTATGGGGCAGGCACAAGGACTGTGTGTTTAGGAGTGAGACATCATGATAACCACACTGAATTCCAAGTGGATCAGCCCCCAAATGTTACATTCACAGAAATAAACCAAGGGAGGAGGATGCCACAGATCAGGTGCGGGGCAGATGTTGGCTGATTGTACAGTTCTTTCAGCTTTTTGGTGCATCTGAAGATTTTTCAAGTAGGACCAGGGTAAAAGAACAGACAGCAGGCTGCCTGGGCAGGGTGGTCTTCCTGGGTTCAGACTGGAGAAGTCGCAGCCATGGGATATAAACCACCAGGGACCCTCTCCTGTCCCTTGCCCACTCTGAGACCCCCAAGCAGCCCTGAATCCAACCTGGTGACAATGACAGGTGATGGAAATTTTGTTTTATCAAGTGGGCCAAGTTACCTACCGATCAGATTGGCCACTGTTGGGGGTTGGTAAGTGAAGATCGCTAGCTATGTTTTCATCGGGACCTACTTTTCTTAGCCCTAATCAGGCCAGGGCCCACTCTCCTGGTATCTTGCCCAGGTGTCTGCCCGTGAGGACTTTCCACAGCATCGCCAAGGTAAGCAGGCATCAGATCTCCTCGCTGTGCAGACACAAGGCCTCTGGCTGATGGCTTGCAACCCCTGCCTGCCCTGCCACTGTCAGGTGGCTGTAGCCCTCCCAACTTGTTTCTCTTTGGCAGTTCAGGGATTAAACCCAGGGCCTTTGCACTGAGTGGCATCCTCAGGGCTCCCCACCCCCACACTTGGAGATCTGTTCTTGCTGCATCACTCAGATGCCCAAGCTGGCCTCAGCCTCCCAGTGTTGGCATTCTCTCCCTTTAGACAGGTGACAGCTCTTGTAACCTACCCATTGGGGAAAATGAGGTTCAGCTTGAAAGGGGAAGAATAGAACACTCCTGAGCTAAGTCCTGGGTGACATTAAGCACACACGATATTGCTCCAAGACTGAACCAGACTTGCTGGCTCTTGGCTGCTCCAGGGGGTCTGGCATCTCCCTGACTCAGCCTATTTCACCCAGTGCACTTTGCGCAACGTGAACCGTGCCTCTGCGCCCACTGAGCTCCCCGCTTCTCTCTTCCCCAGCCTACTGCCTGCCCTCCTCCTGCACTTCTTCCTGTTCTTTTCCGTGATGCTTTGCTTTTGAGGTGTTTCCTCCTGAAGAAGCTCCGGGGCTGCCGTGCAGGGTTACGGGATCTGTCTCTTCCAGTCCCACACCTCAAGGCAACCCAGAGCACAGCTTCTGCATCGGTCCTCACCTTGGTGCCCTGCAGGCACCAGGAGTGGGTCTGGGCCCCACAGAGTCCACAGCACAGCCGCCCAAGCCCACCAGTGCTCCTCCACACCTCAGTCATGAGACTGTGCGGTGCACCCTGGCTCAGCATCGGCAGCAGCTGAGATGTCTCAGCAGAGTGCAGCCTCCTTCCGAAGCACAGGTCCCTCTGCTTCCCGGAGCGCTCTGCACCTGCCCAGCCATGCCTCCCTAGGTGAGGTTCTGCTTCTGCCACCCTGGCCTCTGGCTGCAGTGCTGGGCCACTATGTGAGCTTCCCTCTGCCATCCCAGGTGTGGAGCAAGGGCTTCCCACACCACAACCCTGCTTCCTCTTGCTGGGTACTCTTGCACCCTAAGACCCCCAGAGCCCTGCCACCAGTCTGGTGAGCCTTCGACCAGCAGCTGTGACCCAGCTGCGTCCCTGTGGCACAGGCAGTGCCAGAGGCCTCTTGCTCAGCCCTTACTCCACACACACAAGAGTACCTACTACTGGGCAGACCCTGGCACAACCCTAAGGGGCCACAGCTGAAAGAGGACCCTTCCTCCGAAGAACTTATGAATTAGGGAGAAAAGCATGGGAACGGGCAATTATTGTCACAAATGTCAACTCCAAAATGAGCTATAAAGAACATCGAAGATAGTGAGGGAAAAGAGAAGGACAGCAGGAGGCTGCACCCAACTCCACAGCAGACAGGAGGAAGAGCGCAGGTGAGGTTGTCTGGGCAGAGACTTCCAGGGTTAGGAAACAGCAAGAAGAAAGGTCCTGTAGTAGGCAGGACGGCACGGAGAACCATTCCAGCCCCCTAAGAGAGGCTGGGCGAAGCACAGAAGCAGGACAGTTTGGAGAGGAGGGCACATGACACCCTCCCTGTCTGCAGCAGCAGCCACCTTACCTCAGTGACAAGCTCCTCTTCTTCCTCTGCACAAACGGGTCTAAACAGAGGAAAAGAGTGTTAGGAGGAGCAGTGTTCAGTGCCGCAGTGAGATCTAGAACTGGTCTGGGCAGCGTCCTGCCCCCACCACTTTTCTACTAAGTTCCTGGGTCCCCTTAGCTGAGCACACAGGTAGGACAGTGGTCTCTGGGTCCCACCCAACCCCTCTTATTTCCCACTGGCTAGGAGCGCGAGCTGCCAGGCTGGTGTGCTACAAGCAGCTGCTTCCTCTTTGCCGCCACTGGTAGCAGTCTGTTATGGCTTGTGTCTAGTTGTTCTCCCCAAGCCACATGCAGTCATTGGGGCTGGCTTCCAGAGTTTGTGATTAATTCATGATCCAGTGGTGGGATTAGGAGTGTGCGTGCTGCACCTGCCCTGGGCAGAGAGCCTGAATACAACATAAGGAAGGGAGAGAGGCTTGCTAGCTGTTGTGGCCACCACTCCTTCCTTTTGCTCTTTGCAGTTTTCCATCACCATGAACTGCTGCCCTCTGCCACATGCCACCCTGTCTTGGAGTCAGCCGACTATGGTCTGAAACCTCCACTAACCATGATTTAAATAAACCTTCCCTTCCTTCATTTGGGGTGTTGGGTATTTTGTCCCAGCAATGAGAGAAAAGTAACCACAACAGGGTCCAAAGGAAAGTGAAGCCAGCTGCCGGTGGCCCAAAGAGCTCCTTATGTCACAGTGCTGCCCTAGATGACTTTTCCTGCTGTATGTGAACTTTCCAGGGTATGAGCTCTTTGCATCCTTGGGAAACTATCATCAGGGTCTGCTTATTTGGAGCTGCTCAGAGCCTCGGATTAGTAGCACTGAAGGACACTGCATAGGTCATATCTGACTGTTCCCCCCAAGGCCGCCGTAGGCCCAGAAGCAACAGGATCCAGTGACTGTGGACTGAAACCTCCACTGCTGTGAGCCTGAATACCCCCTACTTCCCTGTGAGTTATTGTCAGGGTTTTGTTGCAGTGACAGGAACCTGACCACCACTCTCTGTCTCAGCCACACAGAGCAGGACTGAGCACCTGGTCCCTCACCAGGGATGCCTGGGGCTATGTTCTTCAGGTCAGCGGAGTCCTCATCTGACAGGTGCTTCCGGACCATGCAGATCTTCAGCGCCAGGAAGCCTACGGAGATGGCAACACCCAGTGCGGTCCCGATGAGGGCATATTTGAAATCTGTGGCCAGGGAGGCATGGCAAACAAGATTTGGTGTCTGCTCTGTTCCACTCCTGGATGCCTCAGTGTGGCACTCCTGGGCCTGGCGTCCCATGCCTCAGCTGGGAGGCCAGGCCCAGAGCACATTGCCCCACTTTCCTGCTTCCTGGAGCCAGAGCAGGCTGGCAGCCACTTACCGATCTCAGATGCCATAGATTTGCCAGTGGCTAATATTCAAGATCCTTCAATACCTACAAAGAAAGAGAACTCAGCCAGCGGAGTACTCACAGCTGCCTGGAAGAGATGCAGTGTTCATTGGGGCAGAAGCCAGAGATGGGGCCACCCTTCCATCAGCCTCCCCTCAGGACCTCCACTGGCCTGATGGCTGCAAAGTCCAGTGCCTTTGTGGGACCTCAGAGCCCCACCACACCTGTCCTTTCACAGTGTCCAGATCCCCCTGCTCTGCAGTTTGCACACCCTGCTGCTGGCCACTCCCTTTGCCTGTTCTCATCTGACTTTGGCTCTGGCTGGGAGTGGGGGCTTGGGGAGTGTCCATATCTGGGTTAGGCACCCTTGCAGGGGACTCCAGAGCCACTGGGCCTATCAGATTTAAATAACTTCTTAGAGAATACTGTTATGTTAACCTACTTTAGTACTAGTAATTGGTGATCTCTTCCCTTAGGGCCTGGCTGCCCACACTCCAAGGGGCTAGCCAACCTCACCCATATTGTTTAACATGTACATAACACTGCTGCCCTGGTTACCTCGGGAACATCCATCTCCTTGTTGGTTTCCTCACCAGGCTATATGGCACAGGATCGGCCTGACACAAGGAGCAGCCTGACACACAGCAAGTCTCAGCAGACATCTGCTGCAGGCAGCAGGGAAGGAAATGACAGCATCCTGCTTGGTACTGTATGCTTCCAAACCTTAACATGGTAGACAGGAGGCACAGGCAGTGCCTGGGTCCAGACAGACTCATGGGGCGCGGGACTCTGAGAGGAAGGTGGCCCCAGCCATGCACTTCGTTGTCACAGATGCAGGTAGACATCTGTGCACCTCACCGAGCAGCAGCTCTGTGAGCGGCACCAACGTGAAGGAGCTTTGCTGAAAGCTGACCAAGGACTAGAGCACTGCATGGTGTGCCCAGAGCCATGGGAGGAAAAAAACTGGCTCAGCTGACCGGAGGGAGGCTAAGGTACAATTCTGTCCCTTTCTATACACAGAGCTCCTCCAACGTCCCAGAGCAGGCCTGGAACCTCAGTTGGAATCAAACTCTGCACACCCTGTACACACACTGCTATGGAAAAGTTTAGTTTATAAAGTACATGCAGTGAAGAGATCACCAATTACTAGTAGTAAAGTAGGCTAACAGAACAGTATCCTCTAAGAAGTCATTTAAAAATCAAGAACTATTTACTGCTGGAATTTTCTTATTAGTATTTTCAGATCATATTTGACCACAGGTGACTTAATCCTCAGAGATCAAAACCTCACATGTGGGAACTATAAACCCAACACCACCAAAGCAGATGGGTGGATGGGCTTCAGCTGGGGCAGCAGACAGGGAGAATCCAGCCTGGGGCCTTTGGTGGGAAGGAGATGACCCTGGTGTCAAGAGGGCACCTGCAGCCAGTGGTGGTGGCACATGTCCTAAATCCCAGCACTCTGGGAGGCTGAGGCAAGATTCTGATTTCAAGCAAGACACTGTCTTCAAATAAAAAAAAAGAAAGAAGAA